ATATTTTAAAATTTTTTCCTCTTTCTCCATGTATTTCAATTGTTTTTTATTGCATTAAAAGTTTGTTTATGATAAACCTGTATAAGGTATAAATTTCAGCCGCCATTTTATACAGAAAAATATGAAAATCTCCTTGCAACTGGAAGGTTAAAATTATTGAAAATTTACCTTAAGACACTTTTTCATATTTCCATCGTGATACTAAAAAATATACACACGACAAGTATTCTCATGCAAGTGGGACACACTATAGACGCAATAATCGTATTTTTCGCCCTATTACTTCGACCAGTCTCATCTATCGTCCATCGTCAATATTCCGTCACAATAAATACCGCTAAAAAGTGTAATAAAATTCATGCCACACACGATGGAAGATTTATAGTTCGATACTTTTACGACGCTTGAGTATCAGTCTCTTTAGCATTCAAGCTTCACGTTGAAATTTCCCTTAATTTCGATTATTTTCAACAACCAACTCTTAAATCAGTAAAACCTTCTAAAAAAGTCGAGAAAAATACTCGAAGTGGTTGATTTTCTATTTTCCTTTGTTTAAAATTTCATTCTGGAAAAAATGGGTTTTTTAAATAGTTTACCACGCTTGTTTATCCTCTGTGGGAAAACTTTGCTGTGCGGGACCCAACGGTGAAGCACGATAAATGAAAATTTCATGTGGCGAAACATCACCGGGGAGGGAAAAGTTGGTTGTTGAGAAGCTAACGAAGGGGACGGTGGACTTCCGGGATAAACTTGTGAAACATTGAGACGCGATGGACATATTAAGCCATGACTTTTTTATAGGTGCTGCGCCAGACAACTTTGCCCATTGTGCCGATGAGACACCAGAGCTTCCAGAGGCAGCTCTCCAACCATCTCGACCTGCCGAATATCAAGTTCAGCATCTGTAACTTGGAGAATCGCAGCGACTCCAATCTTGGATTAATCAAGGTACGAACCGGAAGCAGCCGTGAACTTTTTCCCTTTCACAGTTTCTTCCTGGATGGAAGCAACAACTAACTGCGAACTACTCTCTGTTTCTTTGCTGTAGAAGAATTCGAAGTTAACCTAATCTTGAAGTATTAAAAAAGAAATAAAAGGTGGAAGTGTATGTGGGAGTTTTTGATAGTTGTAGAGAGAATTTTTAATTCAAAGGGACAATGAGAAATAATTTTGGAAGGATTTCTCTTGAAGAAGAAATTTTTGCAAAATTTGATATTTGAAAAGTTGTTAAATGGAAGTGTAGAATTGCTGAGATTTTTGGAAAAATTGGTAAAGAACCCTGCATTAGGAAAAGAAAGAATTTAATTGAAAAGAATATTAAGTATTAGGAAAATGAATGGAAAATTACTGATAATATTACGGGTTAAAATTTCTTAGACTAATATTTGAGAACGAACTATATACGCTGGACGACTTTTCCGTTTCGTCTCTGCCGAAGAATTCCCCGTAGAACTTTATCCCAGACAATGAAACAGATTTGGAAATTTAGTTTACCAAAAGTTCCGCAATCGTGTGTTGCAGCCGGAACTTTACACGAAGGAGCTGGTGAAACAGGAGGACGCGGAGAGTAATGGCGCCGTGGAATGCGCAGGAAAGCTACACTTCGCTCTGCGCTATGAAAAGGAGATCGAAAGCCTGGTGATCAAAGTAAGTTTCACGATTTTGCAGATGGACTTATATGTTGCATTCAGTCGAGCTTGAAACAGTCGAAACACTGCTTGAAATATAATATACACTTCCGACTATAACTTCAGTGGACACTTGAGGGATTTCGAGTAAAAGCGAATTTATTTTATAGTTAGGAAATGTATCGTTGTTAAATTATCTCGATAAACTTGTTGCTCGAAATTAGAAATTTTCTGGTGATTTATGAACGGAAGTGCTTAAGTCAGGTGCATTAGGATATCAAGAAGTTTGTTTTATTATATTAATATGTTCCATCTAAACTGAGCCAACTAAATATCTCTTCAATTATGATGATTCAAAAAATATTTAAAAAAAAATGCGTTTGGAGAAGTGTAATAACATGAGCTTGAAGCGACCTTTGACTCCTAAATGTAGAGTTTTTAAGATATTAATTTTTTGATACCAAAATTTTTTATACAATTCTACAGAGAGGACAGCTGGTACAATAATAGTTCGTGCAATTTTAAAATATACATATTTGCCTTAATTTTTATTTTTTTTTTCTCGATGTTCCTCTAATTTCTCGATCACTTTTGGATCAAATTTTTCTGTTCCCCTTTTCTCTGTAAATGTAATGCTTCTATTCAAAACTAAAGCACAACGTTTCTTTTTATTCTTGACTATTCTTGCATCGAGAGTGTCGATATTTGCACGGCCTCCATTGCATGCTGCTTCCGGAAGCGGCGCACGTAGCGCGAAATCAACGATGGGACACCGAGGATTCTTTCATCCTTGTTCCAATTCCACGTTCGCGCTCCAATTTCATCGTTTGCCAAAGGAATCATATCCTTGGATCGCGTGATACCATGACTGTAAAAGCCACGTTTCTTTCGTCTCTCTCTCTCTCTCACTATGGTGGCCAAAGAAAGATTTTTTCCGGGGGCGTGAATGTATAAAATCGGCGCAATTCGATCGAAGTGAAATTCATTTTCGTTATTTCCTCGTCACGCGAACGATTCGTGACCTTCGTCGACGATTTACGATGAAGATCGATCGCTCTCTGTGACGATAATTCATCGTCGAACTCGAGGAGAGCTAATCCTTCGGTGAATATTCATGTTTCGGAGTGATGTGACTTAAGAGTTAATAATCTGATGGGAAATTGGGATACGTTAAGATGCATTTTACTATTATATCGGCTGTATAGACTTTTATGGACCAGTAATGGTGTTGAGTGCTGTAAGTAAAGAGTTTTCGTAATGCGGAGTGTTAGTAAATGATTAATAATTGCAGGGGAGTAGTATTGTAATCGAAGACAAGTAAGAATGTGTTTAATTAGGAGCTGAGTTGTTGAATAATGCATTGGTTTCGTTATGGAAATGTTTCATGATTACTTCTGTGGAATCGAGGTCCACGTATACATTAATTAATAGGAAGGAATAGAGGAGCGACTTTGGCTAAGAGCGTGGAGTCCCGGCTTGCCATTCCGAAGGTCGTGGGTTCGATTCTCGCTTGGATTTTTCGTTCATTTTTCTGCGACTTTTATATTTCTATTTGAAATTCATTATTCCTCTCATTCCTAAAAGTATACCATAAAAAAATCACAACCATACCTTGTCATGAAAAATAAAAAAGCACTCCTTGCTTCTTCACACTCCTCCCCTATCCAAAAGAAAGTTCAGCTTTCTCAGTATTTATACCTATCATTTCTAAAAGCAGAACAACAACCAAACCACATTAATCTTTGAAACCATACCTTTCCATAAAAAATCAAAAACCACTCCATGCCTATCCCAAGAAATTCAGTATTCTCAGTATACCAATCATTTTTAAAAATGGAGCAATATCCACCACTTCAGCGAATAACAGTACATATTGTTCGCGAAGGGTCTGGCCACGGAGTGGGGAAGACGATGGTCTTCTGGTAAGAGGACTGTAAGAGACAACAAATTGATACCCCAGAACCTTGAACACATACGAACCTTTTATTAGTAAAATTTTTAACATATTAGTAAATTATAATTGTGGTTGTGAAGAGTCCTGAGTAGTGTAAACGTTAGTATAACAACTCCTATGTGTATTCTTATGTGTCCTTTAAACTCGTCAGAGGTCAAAATTCGTTTCTTCCTATTCGATAATTGATCAAAGGCAATGCCGCTTACGAACAGTTATCGTGTAGAAGAGTGTCCCATTCGGGAATAACCGGATAGATTCAGTTCTAGTTCTGGTTAACGGTTACCTTTTGGCACAGTTAAGAGAAATGGTGTTACATTCTGTGATGTAAACAGTGAAATGAACGTAGCGGGCAAAGGAAGATTCACAAGCCCAATCGACACAACCAAGTTTCGTAACAATATCGTGTTTGGTATCATTTTAATCAGGAAAATCTCATCAATATTTTGGTGAAATTTTTATTAACGAAAAATTGAAAATACCAAACTTTTATAGTTTTGTTAGGATTGTCTCACGGACATGCCGCCACCGAATGCGATAAAGAGATGCCGCGGTCGTGTCACATTAGTCGCTTGCCTGGTTCAAAGGTGCTCCCCCCTTGTGGTGGGGATAGACCATGAACCGTTCACGTGTAGATCCCGAAGAACTCTTATAGAATCTTTACTGTAACACAATTCCAACTAGTCATACGACGCGACGCCTCGTCGCACCGTTCCGCGATACATAATCGTCCATTGTTATAGTGCACGAGTACCGCGACGAAAATAGAACGATCGTCATCGCGGGTTGTCGCCGTTCTTGTCAGCCGTGAGAAGCGTTTTCGTAACGTTTCACGCGCATAGGAAAATTCCCGACCCGAGTTAATTACACAACAGCCGCCCGCCATATTTACCCATTGGATAACGAAGGTACTGTGTGTCCTTTCGGTTAGATTACCGGCTTCTGTGTGTCGTCGATTGGCCAATAAACAGCGGTGTCGACGCGTTTAACACCGTGAAATGGATAGAGAGAGAGAGAGAGAGAGAGATTGAATTCGTTGGAAAGCAGGGCGGAACCCCCACGTTTCGTGACACAGAAATGTAAACGCGTCACGATCTACATAGATGCATGCGTGCCACGTAATCGAGCTCGTTCATAAATCTTATCAAGAGGGATAAAGGAACGCGGACAACCCACGGAGACATGAATTTTTTTTTCACTCCCACTGTACACCCTTTCACGGCCGTGTGATTATGGTAATGTTCGGAATTAAGCGGCGTTACGTTGAATAGGGGAGAGATTAGGAATGTTATTCGCGTTCTGCGTGTATTTATCACCTGGGGAAACCGGGGAAATTTATTAACCTTCACTGTGCAGTTTCCCTTCTTCATTTTTCTTTTTAATGGACAATTTACTTCGATGCATGCTATCAGTTCAAATACTTTTTGTTTCTAAAGGAACTTTTGCTTTTTCCATCATCTTTCTACGTGAATTATTGTTCAAAATACAGTATAGAGATTGGGAAATTTTTTCAAATGTATTCTGAACCTTTCCAGCTGTTTTGTGTAATTTAAATTTTGAAGAAGGCGCTATCAGTTCAGGATTTCTTTTTTAAAGGAATTTTTATTTTTTTCCATCATCTTTCTACGTGAATTATTGTTCAAAATACAGTATAGAGATTGGGAAATTTTTTCAAATGTATTCTGAACCTTTCCAGCTGTTTTGTGTAATTTAAATTTTGAAGAAGGCGCTATCAGTTCAGGATTTCTTTTTTAAAGGAATTTTTATTTTTTTCCATCATCTTTCTACGTGAATTATTGTTCAAAATGGGGTACATAGATTAGGAAATTTTTTCAAATGTATTCTGAATTTTTTCCAGTTGTTTTGTGTAATTTAATTTTTGAAGAAGACGCTGTCAGTTCAGATATTTTTTTCTAAAGAAAATTTCGTTCCTCTCGATGATCTTTCTTCGTGAATTACTGTTCAGAATACGGCATAGAGATTAGGAAATTTTTCTAAATACATTCAGAACTTTTTCATTAATTTTTCAAGAAGAAATTTTCGTTCTCAGATACTCGATCATGAATCGTTCTCGAAGGTGTGTTTCTTAAAAGTTAGATTACCTTCGAAGGGTTAATTAAACCGGTTCTGTTGCTCAGAATTTCCTGAAAATTAGGTGTATATAACCCTTTCAGCGACGTTTGTCGCGGTGCCAGTTAAAGCGTCGAATGTTAGTCGAGCGCCGGAGGAGTAGTTCAGCTTTCGAAACACGAGTTCTTGAGAAACTTTTACTTTCAAGTCCCCCCAGAAACGGTACGATTTTTTCCCTACGAAATGTTTCAAAGTAGATCGTTTTTTTATTTCTCTTTTTTTGGCAACTCAAGGGTTCCCTGCTTCAGTGTCATTAATTGCTCGTTGAAACTTCACGATAGAAGAAAGTTTCAGTTCGCGAGCATTCAGTTCTCTCGTTCAGGACTCTCGTTCTATAATAAACTGGCTGGAATGTGATTTCGCCGTGAATAATCTGCAAATTTTGCATTAAAAAAGGATTTACGAAAACTTCAATTTCATTTCATCGATCAATTATACTCAAATTGGATTCTCATTCGTTACTGCACCATCCAGTCAGTCAGATGAAATTTAAATATCACATTGCACATAGTACAGACAAAAGTCACATTTGCATATATCCATGTTTCTCAATGAGACACTTTTCTGATTGCATCTGCATTCCGTGCCCCCTGTACTAATTTCTTCCATTCAAATTCAAATTTGTTTGATTCTCCTGCGATGAGTATTATCAGTGGATAAATAAAAAAAAAAATTCTACTCGTGGACATACTCTTCATATTCGTTTATAAACCAAAAAAGAAACGAATGTTCTTTGCAGATCTTGGAGGCACGAGATCTACCCGTGAAAGACGCGACAGGCAGCAGTGATCCTTACGTGAAAGTCTACCTTTCACCTGACCGGAAGAAGATGTACGAGACGAGGGTGCATCTCAAAAATTTGAACCCAGTGTTCAACGAGACCTTCATATTCAGGTTAGCCCAGAAATACGAAAATTTGGTCGAAATAATGAAATTCGAATGTGAAATGCAATGCTTTATTTCTTTAAAAATAAGAATTTTATTTAGTTTTTTAAGCATGTTCCATGTCATAATATTAACACGTACAGGCATATTACGTGTAATTTTACACCTGACTAATTTGATGTCCTCGTTATATCGCTTCCATCGACTATACATTCAGCACTGAACGTGTTATTAGCGTTAAAGATTGAGGAAATTGCGTTTTCTACCTCTGTAGCTTTAACGTAGGAACACAGTTTAATACGAAATTCTAAGATTCTCGAGGAATGTGGAAACATTTGACGTCTGTTATCAGCGTGGCTTACGAAGACTTGAGGGACCGATGCCTCGAGTTCTCCGTTTACGACTTCGATCGATTCTCCCAGAATGATCTGATCGGGAAAGTGATACTGAGGGATTTGCTGGATTACACTGATCTCGAACAAGAGCTCGAGTACACGATGGACATCCTGTGTGCCATGCCGGTAGATAAGTCACAGCCAAAATGGCCACCTGAAATGGAGACTTTGCATTTTGATTATAAATTGTTCAAAAAATTCTTCAAACTAATAAGAAATTTTTCTTTTAATTGTACAAGTTTTGGAATATTCCAAATGATCCACTAGAAGTGTCCACTTTTAATATTTTGAAGAATGCAAGAATTTCTATTCGGTAAAAAGTTGGTAAAGTTAGCAATTTTTTTAATCATTTTTTATCGAAGCAAAGCAAATTGCTATCGATCCCATAAATTCTGTGCAGATTCAACATCGGAGCTAATTAGTATGTGGTCGCATAGTTTTTGTCCACTTGCGTGTGAAATAGAGAATGAGAAGATTGTATTCGCTCTGATTTCAAGCAACCAAAATTCACAGCTTCCATTTCAGCCGCTACTTTCAGCGTCTGCTTCAGAAATTGAACTGGTTTTCGCTCGTTCCTGCAGGATAAAGTAGACCTGGGCAAATTAATGCTGTCGCTTTGCTACCTACCAACAGCTGGACGACTAACAGTGACCGTAATTAAAGCGAGGAACTTGAAGGCCATGGATATAACAGGATCGTCGGGTAAATTTGCTCGGGACTGTTTTCCACAATTGTAGATAAACAGCAGAACACACAACGCGACGCGTTACTTTGTGTCGATAAGCATGGCTGCGATGTTTGTTTGAACTGTTTATCCAGACCGTTGCTTCGATTTTTGTCGTGACAATTACGAAATTTCACCTCGTTACGGATAAACTTTGATACAAAGTGAAAATATAAGATTCAAGAAATATTCTTAGAAATTGATCTTTCAAATATTGAGAATTTTCCATCTTCGTGTTTTTGCCTCTATCGAGAAATTATCAGTACCGTTAATTTTCAAAAGTCACTTTCAAAGAGCAGATGATTCAAGAAACTAAACGTTTAAAAATCGAACACTACTTTATCACAAGATCCTTGAAATATTGGGAAATTTTCATCCTCGTATTTTATACCTTTAGCAAAGAATTGTCACGCGCGATAAATTTTCGAATATCACTTCCAAAGACCAGGCGAAAATCGTCTGATTTGGGAAACAAATTTGCAGATCCGTACGTCAAAGTGGACCTACTGTGCCAAGGCAAAAGGATCAAGAAGCAGAAGACCACGGTGAGGAAGAAAACATTATTCCCCGTGTACAACGAGATCTTGGTGTTCGACGTGCCAGCGGAGAACATCGAGGACGTCAGTCTCATAGTAAAAGTGATCGATTACGACAGGTAAAGTGTGAAGGGATCAATTGCCCGCCCTATACCTGAATATTTATTCATAATTTTCATCCGTCGTACCTCAAAAAAATCTATAAACTTTAAAAGTTACGCTATCTGCGTACTTTACATGCATCAGCGTATGACCGGTTGTCATATTGCAAGGGCTTTTGGGTCGATTCTTTAAACGCCTATAACTCGACAACTAAGCCTCCATGGCAATTTTACTACTCTTCATTTTCGTTTTATTTTGTCATGCAGAATAATTCTACATAATTTTTTTTCGAAAACTATAATCTCGAGAATAAAATCTTCCTCAATTGCAGCTCAATCTTTCATCGAATGATTTGTTAATTCATCACATGTTCGATTTATTCCGCAGAATCGGTTCGAACGAATTAATGGGCTGCACAGCAATCGGTTCAGGCTTCGTTGGTATCGGTCACGAGCAATGGCTCAAGATGCTGGACAATCCTAGGAAACCGGTGACGCAATGGTACCCACTGATGGAAACGATCGCTGGTCACATTCCAGCCGTGAGTTCGGAGCCCCTTCCAGTGAGTCTGAGCTGCTTGAACAGCAGGTAAGTCGATGGTGAACAATGTAAACCGCCTCGATAAATTCCACAGTACTAATCTATTATTTCACAATGGAATACTTGTTGATTTCCGTGTTTTTACTTGCTCGATTGATATTTAAGAATAGATAATTCAAACAGAAAAGACGCCACGTGAAAAAGTTCCATTTTTTAGAGATCTTTTTCTAGAGATTTGATTCAGAAATACTAAAAATTGGCGAAATTGCGTACTTCCGTTCTAAAATAAAAGGCACTCGAACAATTTGAATTTCAAACAAAATTTCTCTCGTACAATGCTCTGAATTCGTATGTCAAATTACAAATAGCCGAGGAAAGAGACACTGAGATCGTGCAAAGCTGGAAGATTGTATGATTAAGAAAGAACTGTATCGAACGAAATGAGAGAAGCCTCAATGTGAAATGGCACGAACTTCTTGCAGATGAAGACACCGTGGCGTGGATAAGTTTCGCGGGAAGTCGCAGTTTTTGTCGGACGTCGGCTTGGGCGTTGTTTCCTTCTGTCGTCATTTAATGCACACCGCTTGACTGACTTAAGTACAATTTCTATCTCAAAGAAAAGAAAATAACAAAAAAAAAAAAACAAACAAAACAAAAACAAAACCACAAAACAGAAGACACCGAAAGCTCGGAAGAAACACGAGAAAGCAAAAAAGGATAAAAAAAAACAAAAAAAAAACAAAAAAAAATACCAAAAGAAAACAGGTTAAAATCCAACAAAAAACAAAACACACTCTGTGCTTTTTGGGATATAATCAAATGGTGGCGAGCGTGAAATAGTAAACGAATAGCGTAATCAAATAGTAGAGTGTTTGTAACAAGCGTAGTAAGGGTAGAGCGTCGATGGAAGACGAGGTTGCTCAAACTATCTTTCAAAAGAAAGCCAACAAAAACAAGTATATATATCGACAAAAAAAAGTTTTAAGCGAGACAGAGAATGAGAGAAAGAAAGAAAAACTAAAAAAAGATAGAATAGTTTATTTTTTGAGAACGAATCCAGGCTGGTCCTGTATTCGAGCATACAGAGGAAATAATACGTATAGTTTATTAATATAGTTTATCAACTATACCACAATCACATACTACATATATATAAATATATTTTATCAGAGAGAAAGAGAGACAGATAGATGTATAAATAATAAAGAAGAAAAACACATTAATCCAATAGATGGTTGTGAATGGAGTTGAATTTGTTTATTTTTTTTTTTTTTTTTTATTTAAAAAAAAGATCAAAAAGAAGAAGAGAAAATTTTGTGAAACTCGCGGAACTATAAAGTTGTGCTGACGCTTTTTCCTCGATCCTGTAAATCGATACACAATCCCTTCGCTTTCGAAAGTGTCGAACAATGCAAGGCTGTTGATACGGAGACAACGACAGGGATCTTCGATAGAAAGCGTAAAATATTCGAGGGGACGATATTGGAAAATAATTGTCGGGCGGAACGGCGAAGTTTTGAATAGAGAATCCGGCTCTATACACGTACTGGCGAGAGTAATCGTCCTGTTGGGGACAAAAGGATCATGGACAGAGGGAACGGGCGGTTTTCGAGCTTTCGAAACTGCTTCCAGGTCGATTTGGTCGCTCATCGACGATTCGCGATATATTCTTTTGAATATTTTCCTTTCCCTGAATATTATTTTCGTATTTTTTTCTTCTTTTTATTTGATAATGCTACGAAATGATTAAACAACGTTTCACGCTTCGATATTATATGCCACGTACCATTGGTCGTAATCCGGTTATTCCCCCTCGCTACACCCACGCAAAATTGCGATGGTTGCGAATATTTAGCCCGTTAAATTCCGTAAATACGAGAAATCATTATGTTCGGTAATATAACGGAATAATTAAAGGGCATTTTATGCTTGGAAATTATATGGAACGTAGCACTGGTCCATAATCCGGTTATTCCCCCTCGCTACGCCCACGCAAAATTGCGAATATGCGCGAATATTTGAACCGGCGAAGTCCCGTAAATACGACTCGAGCGTGTAGAAAGTTGATTATGTGCAGAGACGCGGTTGACTATTATCCGCGTATAGTTGGTGGAATAAATGTAGAGTGGTCGTAAATTGGAGCAAGTGGCGGTGTAGTTTGACCTAGCCGCCGCTAGGATCGCATACGGCGTTCTGTTTTAGAGTTCGTACAGTAAAATGGTGACAACTGACGACTAACGGGATTTCCGTGTATAGTTGGAGGAAGAAATACGGCGAGTCCGAAAGTTATCGATTGATACAGTGATTCCTAGGGTGAATCGAGTTGCTGTTTTTGTGCAAACTTTTGGTCCACAGTGCGTACGAAATGCAACTAATATCGCACACAAGGAATGCGAGATTTTTGGATTGGGATTGAATCGAGGTGCTGTTTTTGTGCAAACTTTTGGTCCACAGTGCGTACGAAATGCAACTAATATCGCACACAAGTCTATTACTGACTATTGAGACTATGAAAAGAATAAGGTAGAACAGCGTGATAACATGGTCGAAATATTCTATATTTGAAGACCAAATTGTGAACTGAAACTCATGTTCGTTAGCTGTGAAACTCACTTCCTTGGAGGTTCTATGTACGTCTATAGTGTAATGGGTTATAAAGGTATAGCCGGCGGAAGAAATACAGTAAGAATTGATGCACTAACATCCATAGTCGAATGCGACATTTTTCGTTTTTCGGTTAAGACTGAATCAAAGCTCAGGCATACTTTATACAGTCCTGATTGAGATTTCGGGTCCTTACTCCCTTAGATTTGCATTGATTCGCTTCTGTTTATATACTCGAACGTGTAAACTTTGACGACCTCGTTATATTTCTTCCATTGACTGTACCATAAAAAAAAATGAAAAATTCCAATGAACATCAATATTTGAGGAATGTGAAATTGATACAGAATAAATAGAACAACGTGAACGATAATCATTGCAAGAAACTGGCGAATAAAGTAATAAAAATTACAGCAAAATACAGGTGAGAACGAAGACCATTGGGCACGGCGAACACATAATACGGCCCTGACTAAGGATTCTCGTCCTCATCTTCTCACATTTCTGTCAAAACACTCGAAAACACGTTTACTTCGACTTCTAACGATTTTACCAACCAACTCGCTATATTTCTTCCACCGACTGTACATCGCGAACAACGCACAATACTCGATACAACTATACATTGGCTCGAGACACGCATACTCTGACTAAACGTGACAAACGAGTAACGTAACGTACAATAATTTTCGCTTTGAATGGGGCAATCTTGGTGAATCTGCCGTAATAATCGAAAACACCTGTTTCACATGCTCGAAGAAGCAACTGTTTTCTGTCGATCTGGTTTCATGGAAGACACCGTGAAGGGAACGAACGTTCTGAGGACAATAAAGCCGCGTAACCAGAGTATATAAATCCTCTTATGTAGACTTTCGAATAGAGCAATACACCGTAAATGTAACAAAAAAAAATAAAAATGAAGCCGTATTCCGTGAACGCTGTTACACCCGTTCTTCTGTGTCTGAATCGTGCGTGGCGAACACACGGCAAATGTGGCGGAGGAATATTGAAAATAAGAGAAAAACGCAAAAAAAGAAAAAAAAAATGAAGGGATAAAATAAGATAAGAAATATAGCCGAGTCGAAAGGGAGAGAATAACGAAGCATATGTGTAGATGTTTAGGGGAATGCGACGTTTACTAATTCACGCTATTACGCCACTTCCGCGTAAATGTACTTATTTAACGCGATACGTGTTACAGTGTAAGGACTCGTCTATGGGCACAGTTTTGTGATAACGCGTCTGATCTGGTACGTGCATTCACGTTAAACGAGCACACATACACGAGGACACACCTTAACTTTCTGATCACCCTTAGAAGGGGAGGAAGATATTATTACGGTAGAGATTATGGGTTTCGAACAGGTTAGATTAGGTTCGTGGAGGCTGTGTAATTTCTACTGTGCCGCTTGTCTACCTCAGAGATCCTTTCCTTAGGGAAGGATGTAGGAAAGAATGGGAATAGCGTTATTTGAAGATTGTCGGAACGAGTGAAGATTGGACGAATCGTACGAAGGTGACAATTTATCCAGACTTTGCGCAATAGGAAGAGATTTTTCTCGGCGTTCTTCTAGTTTTTTTATTACTTCTTGGAGAAAAAGTGAATGTAGGTTAGGTTAGGGAAGTGTCAATTTTTTAATGAATCACTCTTTCTTCGTTCTTCGTTCTTTTTTTTTTATAAATTCTTGGAGAAGAAACGAATGTGGACATTTGTTAAGGAATTATAAATCACTATAATTGAAGGTGACAATGTTTCCAGATTTATGATTTCTTCATTTTTTCTTCTGTTTCTTAATAATTTTTTGAGGAAGAAATGAATGTGGACACTTGCTAAGGAATTACAAATTTTCTATGAATCACTATGATCGAAGGTGACAATGTTTCCAGAGTTCTAATTTCTTCTCTGTTTCTTAATAATTTTTTGGAGAAGAAATGAACGTGGACACTTGTTAAGGAAGTATCAATATTTTATGAATCGCTATAATTGAAGATGACAATACCTCCAGATTTCTGATTTCTTCATTCTATTATACTTCTTTCTTTTTACAATTTTTTGAAGAAGAAATGAACTTGTTAAAGAATTGCAAATTTTTTTTATGAATCACTATAATTGAAGGCAACAACGTTTCCAGATTTCTAATTTCTTCATTTTTCTTAATAATTTTTTGGGGAAGAAATGAACGTGGACACTTGTTAAGGAAGTACAAATTTTTTTTTATGAATCACTATAATTGAAGGCAACAACGTTTCCAGATTTCTAATTTCTTCATTTTTCTTAATAATTTTTTGGGGAAGAAATGAACGTGGACACTTGTTAAGGAAGTACAAATTTTTTTTTATGAATCACTATAATTGAAGGCAACAACGTTTCCAGATTTCTAATTTCTTCATTTTTCTTAATAATTTTTTGGGGAAGAAATGAACGTGGACACTTGTTAAGGAAGTACA